CCCCCCCCCAAGAGAGCTTGAAGTGTTACTGTGACAATTGTGTTATACACAAAGTATTGTTGAGCAAATCTTTAATTCAGACTCAAATACAATTCTGAACGTAAAAACGGTGCAACAGCTGGTATCTCTGCTGATCATAACTGTTCGACCCCATTGGGGTTTCACTATAAACTCCAAAAAGCGCCATGCTTGTATATAGAAGACGTGTTACATGGGTGAAATACAGCTTGATAAACAGGAGCTCTAATTGCAACAAGGTCACTCCTCCTCACTAACCTCGCTCTCATCGTCACTTGGAGCGTGGTATAGATGCGACGAATATTGTGGCTGTGATTGTTGGCTACGCGACTCTTCTTCCTCTCGTGCACTCTCTTCAAAAGCCGCTTCCATCTCAGCAGCCAAGGCATCATCATCGTCCAGTTCATCCTCCTCTGCGGGCGGCACAGAGACGGGCTCGCGAACTGCAGGTGCCTTGCCGTGTCTGGCCGGAGAAGGGAGCCGGAGATGATCAACATCTTCATCGTCCTCGGGATCGTCACTGGCCGGTGTGTGCGTATCGGAGAAGTAGGTCGTGTCGATTCTCGACGGCCGCGGCGACCCCATCTCAATGATCAGGTCACCATCAATGATGATATTTGACCCCGGTGAAGGCTCGGTGATCTGAGACGAGACCAACCCAAGTCCAGTGTCAGCTGGTGAAGGTTTCGCTGTATTTGTCCGCGTCTCGTCTTCAGGGGCCACTTTCCGATCGGGCCCTTTGCGTTCAGCCCGAACCGGAGATTTAGGAGGCGCTTTTATCGGGGTGGATTTCGGAGGTTTGACCGCCTCTGCCCGCTCCTTCTTCCGAAGCGGCGGATCTCGCTGCTTCTGCTTGCCCGGCATAGGCTTAGGACTTGGAGTTGGTTTGACTGCAGGCATCAACGGTGTCGCAGCTTTGCCGGTGCTGATATCCGAGGTAGACTTGTCATCGTCGGTATTCTCCTTTGGAAGGAAATGACGAAAGTCATATGGATTGCTGTCATCCGCCGGACCATCATCGTTACCGCTGGCATTGTCAGACCCTCGATCGTCGCCCAATCCATGGTCCTCCTCCTGTAATGTTCGTAGCTGTTCATATTGCTCAATGACCTGCTTGTGTGATTTGGCTGGGGCCGACCGGAGATTGAAGTTGAGCTGTGTCGCTACTGGTTCTAGTACGAACACTTTCCGATTGGCGTCAAAAACCAAGACTAGATTATGTTCCCCTGATTCCGGTGCAGCTCGTGTCGGGTCTACACTACCTTGATAGGCGTAGGTCAACACATTTTGTTCAGCATTCGGTGCTTTGTCGGTGACCGTTAGGTTGTAACGATCGCGGGACTGCCTTGATCGGGAAATAACGGACCGGGCGGTCGCAGACTTGGTTTTGTAATTATATTGGATATTAACCAGCTGCGAGTCTGACGAGCCCTTGCCAGCGAGCCTGTCGCCCAGCACTATAGGATATTCGGCCTGTTTCGTGGGATCGATCAATCCGCTGGTGGAGAGGGCGGGAACGGCCATCAGGGATATCGTTGGAGTCACAGGAGGTAGGGAGAAGGGTTGAATCAAAGGTCGCAAATTTGTGTATGTGTAGCTTTTTGTTCACGCAGTCAGGGGAATATCTTCATGGCTCAAGAGCGTATGGATCAGTAGCACAGTATGCAAGGGAGGACGTCACGACAGAGGGCGGCGGGCGGGGGGAGGTAAGGATATATCAGGGACCGGAAACCAGCACCGGTCACGAAAGAAGTCCCAAAGGAAGGAGGTTGAGTTCTTTGAGAGGCAATGAAAGTCGTACAGAGTCAATGAGAAAGAGGAGTCCAGAGATTGTCGTCAAAAGGGATAGGGTGAGAAAGAACCTAGGAAGGGAGGGAAGGGGAGGAGGAGGAGGAGAGGGAGGATGACGGATGGTCCAGACAGCGTTGGACGGCGGATGCCATGCCCTATCGGGTTAGTGGCCCCGGGGGTGTCCTAACTTCCCTTATTTAGGAACAAAAGGCGCTCATCCCTTCACTTGAGAGAGACTGACAATGGCGCCCTCATTTTGGTTTGTTGCCATCTTTGTTGTGGAAAGCCCTACAGTAAGTACGTCCTTTGTCACTTTGTCACTTTTCCACTTTGTCACCTTGTCACTCGTTAAACCGGCGAGGCAACTTGCAGTGTCCCTTTGGAGGAGGACCCAGTCGTCGTTGCACCAATACCACCACCACCACCACCAACACCACCACCTCCAGTCAGCTGTTCCAACCGCCCTGCCAAGGCTCGGTGTTTCCGCGTCACCTCCTCCCATTCGTAGGCCAAATCGTCATCTTCTTCATCTTCTTCATCTCCCAGCTCCGTAAGAATCATGCCAAAGTCTCCCCCAAGTCGACCTAAACTGGCTGCGCAGTATAGGACCTGGGTCAAGAGACTTTCGCGCGAGCTCTTATCACGAACATTAGGAAGATATGTGCGCAACGTATCCGCGAGTAGTTCGACTAGCTGCATAGGAAAAGTGGCCAAAGCGGACGGAAGTCGTTGAAATGGGATTTCTTTGCGGGCTGGCTTGGAGGCTGCCGCCTTAATTCGAGCATCGATTCCGCGTAGACCGGCCACAGCCAATTCAGACTCGGACTGGTCGGGGGAGAATATATTCCTGTACAAGGAAACAATCGCGAAACTTTGTTCGCGGAAAATCTCGATGTATCGTTTCAAGTATTTCTCCGTCTGGTGACCATCGGACCAGTTGCCTGTCGCACCGGTTTGTTTGTCAGTCTTGTGAAGCCTGCGGTGCGTCTCCTGGTCGGCCAGCTCTCGCAGAGGGTCCAGAGCCTCTAGCATTGATACCAAATTTGCCAGTCGACAGATTAAGAAGACTGCACCCAAGGCACCCTCTCCGGAGGCAGCTTCCCCATCATTATAGAGGTTTTCCAACTCAGGCGCCACTCGCCGCAGCCAGCCAACGGTCCTCATTGCAGCTGCCAGCCGCAGGTTTTGCATCCGGAGTCCAGCAATCAGATTGGAGGTCATGTTCTTCATCGCTTCTTCTGCCTGCATGACCACGTCTTTGACAAGCGGAGAATCCGGGTACAGAGTCTGCAGTCTCTTGATGTGCGCATAAAGATCCAGTGCAGTCGAGTATGTGGTCGAAGCGGAACTACCTGTACCACCTGAGCTGGCCGCGGCAGAAGCCACGGCTGTGGAAAGCAAGGTTGGCAGCTCCAGGATGTCCGACAGCCGGTCAACGTTCCTTGCCAGCTGCATAACCTTCTTCCGTCGCTCGAGCGCTACATTCTCCGCTGCTCTACTATATTTCGACGAGAACAAAACCGCTTCTTCGTCCAGTTTGGGGATGGCATCTCGTAATTCGTGTGCGTTGCGGGCCAATTGGGGGATAGCTGTACGAAGGTTGGATAGGTTATCTGCAGAAGTGACGAAGGCTTTGTGAGAACGGTTCGAAAGCGCTTGTAGCGACAGAAGGGTCGAATGTGAGGACTGCGCTAGGGACTGAGGTTCTGTCGTCTGCAAAGCTTGGAGGGAGAGGGTGGGGAGGCGATTGAGGTACTGCGTTGTGGTAGTATCATGCTTCCGGGAGCGGATATCGGATGTGGCATTTGCCGTTGAGGCCAGCTGGGGAGCCAGAAGTTCATAGAGATTATCGGCCATAGCTGCTTTCTCCAGAACCCACGAAAAGATGAAGGAAAGAGGAAGTGGTGAAGCTGAAAACTAGCCGTCATAGACAGGAGAAACTGGCCAGCTTTGATGGTGACGGATTGGCACGGCATGCGGCCTTGGCGACCACTGGCCAGGCCCCGTCTAGTGCTTCCTACCCTCTAGGGACATTGTCTCAGTCACTGCACGGCTGAGGTGGACCACCACCACATCAACAACTTATTGTCACTACAAATCTGCCAAACTTCATGTTTCTGGCAATATCGAAACATAGGTAATAATGCTTACTTGATTTACCTGGATCTGAACAGAGGAGAATCCTTTGAGTCCTTCGATCACTATAGCCCAACTTCAGGCGCTTTTGTGGTTTCTTGTATGTTTACGCTCACCAGATCATTGCGATCAAGCTGATGGCTCACTATCTTCATGTATAGGTTTCTCACGGGTTTGTCTTCTCTTCTACCACCCTATTCTCATTGCTCGCTCAACCCCCAAATGAAGTATGACCCTGAATTGACTACTGAATATAGCATGGATGACTCGGGCCATCCCTCAGGACTCTCCCGAAGATACTTGGTTTGGTTCTTACCCAGCTACTGTCTACGTTCTCACTTTCTCAAGGATGAGGCGAGAAGAATCAGTACCCCACATCATCCCCACATGGTGTCGTCCTTCCCGGGCCTGGTAAACATGGGGGATTCATGCTCTCATTTACGCTCTTGCGACGGTCGCTACGAAGGTGCGCCATCAGGATTGCGAGGCAGAGGCGCAAGTGTATTCAAGTGAGTGATCGATCTGTGAAGGGTACTGATTGACACTTGGAATGGACGTCACTCTGATAATGGGTGCATCGCATGTTGACGGAAAGGAGCATTGACGACGTAGTGTTGCGTTGTTTCTAAGCAATAGGCAGCGTAAGGTGTTTCTTGAGTGCTTTATATGGATTCATGTGACCTATACATGAAGAGCCGATGAACTGCGCTGCCACCGGTCGAAAGAACCAGTTAATGAAGCTTTTTTTTTCTTGGCGACCTTCCAAGTAATATCAGGCGCCTACTTGATGGGCATTGGCTGACTAGTCATTGCCATAGTGAGCATACCTACTGTACCTCTGCGCTATTCTATGAAGTGCACCAAATCTTCCCTTTGATGTTGCTGCAACTTTTGGCTTTATACAGCTTGTGATGGTAACTATAACATGATACCAGTCCTGGTTTCTGGGAGATAGAGTTGGCAGATTATGGTCACATCCTACAATGCTGAGCCTCTGACTGCATGTTATTCTTATGACAATCGAAGAACAAGGTAGAGATCTAAGGCAAAGAGCTGAGTAGAAGAAAAGCTGCTGGCATAAAACGGTGCCTGGCCTGGTCCTTGCTGACTAACCAGGGCACTGACATCACACTGGCACTGGATCACGCTAACCTCATCAGGCAATCCCCAGGTTCCTCCTCCAATGGTCTCGCCGCATTGCAAATCCTCTTTCACCTCAACACCCTGAATTCTCGCTCTCTTTTATCCTGCCTTCGTTTAGTTGTCGAATGAAGAAGGTTGAATTGCAAGCCACACGCTTTTCGGGAAAGCGATCAATCTGTGGGCGTACCTTGTGCTTCACTGTCCGCCGTCAAAGTCCTCGATTGTGCCTCTCGTATCCCCACACTAACTGCACCACCACATGCTAAAGCAACCATGGGCAAGCCGCGGGTAAGTGGCACAATCCTTGAAGGTGAACCCATTCTAGTAACTCACTTGTTTCACAGATGATCATATTGATCCGACATGCTCAATCAGAAGGAAACAAAAATCGAGAGATCCATCAAACCATCCCGGATCACCGGGTTAAACTCACCTCGGAAGGACACCGTCAGGCTCTGGAAGCTGGGAGCAAGTTACGCGCCCTCCTCCGGCCCGATGACACGATACATTTCTTCACATCACCCTACCGTCGCACTCGTGAAACCACAGAGGGTATCCTCCAGTCCCTGACTTCGGACTCGCCATCACCTTCCCCGTTCCCTCGCCATACAATCAAGGTCTATGAGGAGCCTCGATTACGAGAGCAGGACTTTGGCAACTTCCAGCCTTGTTCGGCGGAGATGGAACGGATGTGGCTGGAACGCGCAGACTACGGACATTTCTTTTACCGGATACCCAACGGCGAGTCTGCCGCCGATGCGTACGATCGCGTTAGTGGGTTCAATGAATCACTTTGGCGACTGTTTGGAGAGAACGACTTTGCTAGTGTCTGCGTGCTGGTAACGCATGGGTTGATGACGAGGGTATTTCTTATGAAGTGGTATCATTGGAGCGTGGAGTACTTTGAAGACCTCCGCAACATCAACCATTGCGAATTCGTTATCATGAAACTCAATCCAGACAACGGTAAGTATGTACTTCAAAACCAGCTCCGGACATGGTCCGATCTGCGCAAGGAGAAAGAGCTCGAGAGACAGCATGAACGCGCAGCCAAGGGTCTCAGCCCTACGCAGCCCGCTACGCCATCGGAGACAACGCCGGTGCCGATCAGACGCAAATGGGGCGGCTGTCCCGAGGGGTGCAATCATGGCATTCGAAGAGGTAATTCTCTCCGTTCGTCCCGAGCACATGCACAAGAACAGCCCAAGCTGCACGTGGATACGTCATCTCCTGTCTCCAGAAAGACAAGCGACCCCAAACACAACCCAGACAACACCAACGCTGACCACGGTACTTCGCCAACTACAACTTCGACAGAGCCCGCCGCGCATGGGGAACCACACATGATCACGGCCCCCGAGCCAGCACTTGGAGATCGCTCGAGGGATGTTCGACCTCTAGAGAGGACGCACCCCGCTCCCTCGCCTAAGTATGAGTTCCATGGCACGCAACTGGAACTTGAGATCTCAAGCGCAAGCTCATCACTACCCATTCGAACCACGACTTTGAAGGACACAACCCATATCTCTGACCATCCGTTCCCCTCGTCAACCCATTCCAGCCCCAGCCCAAGCTCGAAGCCAGTTCATCGCCGGCCAGACCTCCGGCATTTCCACCGTGACAGCGAAGACCACCTTCTCCATCCACCCCGCTCGAACTACGCCTACCTGCACCTCGTCGGCCGTGACGGCGGCGGCTCCCTGAGCGGAGCGAACAGCCTCGCACCATCCGAGGACGAGCGGGATGACAAGCACGAGTATCAGCATTACCACCCCCACCACAATCAAGAGCACCAGCACGAATCCTACCAATCAGCCCCAGAAGCCCGTCCGCGCTCCGCCTCGACCTCCAACCACCCCCATTCCCACCCACATCACCACACCCACCGCCCCGACCCCTCTCGCAAACCATCCCAAGACCTTGGCAACGACGGCGACGACGAGAGCAGCAGCAGACAGAACGATCGGCCTCGACGCACCCGGTCCCACAACTACCACCACCACCCCCACATCTCCACCACCTCCAGCGGCCGTCGAGCCATTCAAGCCAAACGAGTAGCCAACATCCTGACCGAACACCAACCGCAACCCCAATACCAACAACACGACACCGAATCCGAGTATTACTCCGAAGAGCAATGCACCACCTGCGCGACGGAGCACACCCAGCACATCTACGAAGGCAGCAACCACAACCACAGCCACAGCCCCGCCCACGACGGACACGAGAACGAAGACGAATCGAACGAGCACCCAGACACGACCCGTGAAGTCGACCACGACGACGCCCTAGACGCCCAACGCCGCGAAGACCAGAGTATAAGAGGAAGCGTATACTAATTGTGTTACCGGGACGAACGGTCCCTGCATCTATCGCATAGACATTCATTCATGCATACAATGATCCATTCATGCATCATACACCTCTCTATCTCCACATTTCTATAAAGCATCATCATCATAAGATACAAAAGACTGCCCTATTATGACGAACAAATGGACATGAACATGACTATTGATGGAGATGATACATACGTAAGGTGGTGAATATGGCCAAGAGGGCGAAGCTATTGTATCTACCCAGGCTGCCGCTCGCAGACCTTATAACTATCCCATATATCAATAAATCGGACATCCTTGAGAAACCTTCCTGAATTTACGCAATGGATATCCTCCAAGCCGATAATGCCTCAAGCGGGCACGGCACTTAGGAAGAAATGCTATCCGCCAACCCTTGCATCGTGTCTATCGACACGTACGTCTTCGACTAGTAAAACTGGCTGCGTTGCACGGGGTCACGGGGCGAGTATCCGTGATAATACTCCCATCCCAATAGATGAGACCACCGACTAGAGAAAAGAATAGAATGAAGGCTAGCGCTGGAGCAGAAGGAAGACGGGAGGTGGTCGGCCAGTGGCCTTCTCTCCGTTACCCCCCTGATCTACGTACGGTACTCTGTGTTAGACTGCAGCACTTGCGCTGCATACACTTGATATCTGTCCTGCAAGCAAATACCAGATATAAGCGGGAACAAGATTCCTTCATAGAGGTTGAAAGTGATCGGTTGCAAACCTAATCGATTATCGTGGAATTCTTCAATTGGAAAACCAATAGTATGGACTGGACATACACTCCAAAACGAACATACACAAAAGTCATAAGAGAAACACACATTCAGAGTAGAAGAAAAGTCAATATACAGATAAAGGGTTGGTTGAGGTTTCTTTCATAAATCATAACACTACCTGGTTAATTTAATTATAATTAATAATGCCCGGTGCCTGATGCTGCAATTGCTGGAGCGGAGACGAGGAATGAAAATGCATATGATTTTTCCAACGAATTGGCAATCCTTCTTGACACACTGGCACACACAATGAAGAAGGCGTGAGGTAGGGTTGATGAGATTCCTAGGTGAGGGAGAGGACGTGCATGTGTGTTGTGTCAAGGATTTGGATTGAGTTCACTGGCATATGCACAATGCTTCTCTCCTCCCCGTTAGCGCAACAAGCAGATCAGTTCCATCCCATCCCCAGCTCCCACGTGAGGATAAAAAGGGTACAGACGAAAGAAATAGGAAATGGAGATCCTCCGCCGCCGGATGCGGGTCCTCGTAAAGGTGCTCCTTGCGTCTCCTCCCCTTTCCGATCTGGAAATAACAAACAGCTCCACTCCCCTCAAATAACAAACAATAGAGGTCTCAGGGTATCGCAACGGCCTGAGAGCAAGAGGTTCGTCATAACCCCTGTATCTATATGCCAATGCAAAAAAAGGTCATTAAACAACATTGCATCCTTTCCGATGCACAGCGATGTGCAAAACTGGGAAGCGAGCGAAAAGCGCCTCCAATCAACTTTTTCTTCATTGAATGGTCTCAGAACCCAGGCGCCAATGGTGTGAGCGATCGACACGAAGTAATATAAAAGTCTATGTACCTGGCCGAGCAGAAGGTAAAAAGGTAAAAAGCTCGACCAGCCAATGAATAGCGAAAGACGCAAGTAGGATTCGAAGCGAATGGAATCGTTCTGGAAAGCCCCAGACGGCATTGTAGAAGCGAGTGTCGGAGGCAAGACACCAGCACAGGCCGAAAGGAGTTGGCCCTGGGTCTTGCGTATTATAATTATCGACGGGAGCTTCGAGGGTAGCCTGGAGGAAGCGGAAATACAAGCCAGAAGATTGCGGTGATAGTACAATGAGGCGAAGGAAGAGATCATCAAGTGGCATCCTTTCGAAAGGTCCGGCCGAAGCAAGTGCTCGGCGTGGACCTGTACCGAAAAGACTGAAAACAGAAACGAAGCCGCGTGGTCGGTATTAAAGATATATGTGTCGAAATTGGCTCAATGCAATAAACCAGCATGTCGTCAAATGTTAAAACGCCAATCGTAAATAGATGCAAGAAGCGAATGCTATATGCAGTGTGAAGTTGGTGGGAACTCGGAACGAGAATCATGGGCTAATGACATGTCGTCCCGATTCGATGTCGGCGACCGGGGAGGCCAGGGATTCTCCCTCCCAAGTGTAATGGTCGTCGACAGGGCTCAAGGAGCCAGAAGAGACCGAAGACGAAGAGCCAACCGTCCATTCATCGCTGTCAAGGTTGAAGTCGCCATCGAAGCTAGCCAAGTCGTATCCATAGGCGCGAGCTGAGTCGCCGATCTCAATGTAGTCGTAATCCCAGCGGTAGGTCTTGTCACTTTGGACGCGCGGGAGGAAGCGGGTCTTCGCAAAATAGAAAGCGACCGTGGCCAGCAGACCACCACCAACCAAGTCCACTGCATAATGGTGGGACAGGTACATCGTCGCCCACCACATCCACAGAGTGTAGGTGACGAACAGAGGCTTCAAGCGCGGGAAGACGTGGCTCATGAAGAGCGCAGCCAGCGTTGAGTCCGCAGCGTGCAGAGAGGGGAAGGCACCGAACACGACAGGGGATTGTCTGAAGCCCGAGGTGTACAGGTCGATCCCCAGGAGCTTATCGATCCGGGCAAGACCGGCGGGGTTACCGGGCATGGAATAGTCGGCCGGTGCCAGGCCATAAAGGTTCTCGTACCACGGCGGAGAGCATGGGAAGAAGAGCTGAATGACGACTGCAGTCATGCTAATGTAGCCGAAGGTGCGGGCGAAAAGTGGAACCGTACCGGGAGGGCCGAAGACGAACATGATGAGCGAGCAGACGAACGGCGCACCGTAATGGCAAAGACCGTAAGGAATCCAAGCAAGCACATCAAGAACGACATTCTGATGAGCAGACAGAATGTTGCTGATATTCGCACCGTACAGGATATTCTCCAGGGCCGGAAGCACGCGGACCCAGATCGCGGGGCGCCAGTCACTCGGAATGAATCTATAGCCGGAAGAGTCAGTCATTGTCCGTTCGACTGACAGACCGAATATGAGGTTAGACTCAATATCTCACTTACTGGCAAGCATAGAAGAAGATAAGCCAGCCCGCGATCGGCAGGAAAGGTAGGAAGAACTGGCGGGTGATCGGAAGCAGGAGCGAGATCAGGAGCAGCGTGAAGACCGCGGTTTTGGCCAACGGCCCCGGTGCACCCATCATGCTGAGGGAGAAGATACCGATAATCAGCAGAAGCAGATACTGGAAGTCATATAGTGTCCAACGATGGCTCTGGAGTGAACGGAGCGTATCGACGGGCGAGAAGGATGTTTGCAGCGACGAAATGGATGAGGTCGGAGAAAGCCTGCTGCGCAGCTTCGACCGGATCTTCCGTCGCATGCGATGCGGGACCAGCAGCTGGATGGAGCGCCATGGTACTTGGATCTGAAGCTTGCCAAACTGGTTCTGCGTGCGGTCCTTCCACGAAGGAAGGGAACTATTCATCTCGGCGGCTAATCGCGGTACGAGAAGACGCCGTGGAATGGCCGGCAGGGTCTCTTCTTCACTCGTCTAGCAAAGGGTGGTTGAGCAGCGGGCGCAAGTGAAGGATGGGAAGTCGAGGCGGAGCTGGCGGAAAGGAGAGGGTGGTCGTGAGGTCTCGGCGTCAACGTGACAGGAGTCGAGGGGAGAACCCTGGAACAAAACGTTTCGATCGCAGGCTGGATTAATCCGACAAGCGGAGAATTCAAATTGAGTTATATCAAGGACGTAGGAGCGCGGGCTCCGGTCTCCAGCGGCCAAACGAGGAGGATGTTCTGGGAGGTCACGTTGGCAAGGGTTTCTCTGACGCAAGGCGGACAGTAAGGGCGATAGAGAAACAGTCGACCAAGAACGAGGAGACAGTCGCGAGGGGCGGCAGATATGGCCACGGAGCCGGAGGGATAGGGGCCTAGCGAGGAGAGGGTAAAGAGGAAATAGGATGATAGGAAGTGAAGCGGAGGAGAAGGAAGAATGTGAAGAAGAGAGCAGAAGAAGAGAAGAAGAAACAATGGGATGGATGGATATGAGGATTTTGCAGGATTGGGGGTCTTGTTTGGTTGGATCAGCAAAGAAAGAAAGAAGAGGGCATCGACTGGACTGGACTGGACGGGGCGACGGACCACGACGGGTACGGTACGGCTTACAGTTACAGTTATGGGGAGAGAGTAAGTAAAGTCGTACTCGTATTTCCAGTATTACCGGTATTATCAGTTTGGCTCCGTATCATGTCGTCATTACTAACTGTGCTCTAACTGCTTTGGGGCATACTCAGTACCGTCTATACCCTTCCAGTGCTAGTTTAAATAGTCAGCCTCGGAAGCAGTTGAGGTGCCTGAGGGAGCCCAGGGCAGACTAGACTAACTCCAGCTCACAGCCTGATGAGTAAAAAGAATTGAAAAAAAAGACAGAAATTTTCTGTTCGGACAACGGAAGCCGCAAATACCGAACTACGGATCGGAGCGGACCTGAGCACTACAAGGCTTTGCTACAGCTATGAGTACAGTACATCCACCTTGCACGCCCTGGTCAGGCTAGACAGTAAAGCAGTTGTATGATAGCCACGCGGAGATTAAGTTGGCGCGGTGCAGCAGAGGAGCTGTGCGCAGACAGTGCATATTTGTATATGTGATAAAATGGATCGTGACTCTGACTCTGGTCCCATTTGATAAGGGTCTGATTCTGATACTGTAGGTTTTATCACATAGAAAGAGAGAGGGAGAGAAAGCCAGCCATTCTCACTCTCCGCGATACGCCCATCTCAATCGTAGACTACCTGCAAGTGCAAGCAACTGAATCGACCAACAGGAAGGCGTGGATCTCCGGCCTCAATTTCGCTTAATCCACAACGGTCTCACAAATCGGGCCAGGGAATTCACCGATTCCACCCACAGCCCGCCAAGACCCGCTGTGCCTGAATAGTCTGGTTGGTCCCAATTTCCCCCGTCGCCGCATAATTAATGATCATTATTGATCATGAATGTTTGTTGAGGCCCGAGGTCTCTCTCTCTCACGTATTCAGTTCCCCATCTAATCAGGCACCAGATGAATCGGGCCCCCGGCAATCCGGCATCCGCATCCTAAGACATTAACAAAGTCTTTCTCACCGCTCGAGGCTCGGAAAAAAAAAAAAGGCTCAATTGTCTGATGGATGGGACCCTCCATAAAGAAACAAGCACGATCATGAAGGTGAATAACAATCCGTTAATCTGATGGATAACAATCGGGGACCGTAAGCGCCGAGGTGTTCCCGCGTCGGCACTTCGACAGCCTACAGGCCAGGGGAGAATGTGATGGATAGAGAGCATCGGTCGTATTACTTACCTCTTGCAGTAAAGACAGCTTCGGACAATAGCCGCCGTAGAGCCCAGAATGATATGTGATTGTTTGACGGGGATCAGCCAACGAGCTGAGAGATGTCAGCTACAGTGAGACAAGCAGTAGGCGACTATCTTCCCTCCCAGCCACTCCACGCCATTCAACTCGAAACAATTGCCTGTCAGACAGAGACAGGTCCACGCCAGCTGCATTAACCATTAACCCAGATGACAGCCGTTATTGTCTCGTTCCTGGCCGCGTTGAGCTTCAAAGCTGGGGAAAGAGGGACGAGGACTGCTGCACCACCAACCCCAGCCCTCCTGAATATCATCCCCAGCCAGCCCCCCTAACTCCTTTCCCCCTAACTTGATCCCGGGACTTGGGATTTAGGCAACATGACAACTGAAGATGGAAGGATGGAGGAATGATATGCAGGTCTAGAGTGATTAAGCAACGGTCTAGTAGCAAATAATCCAACACTTGGGCTCTAGTCACTCGAACACGAGCAAGAGAGAACAAGAGTACTAGAGGACGGAAGCCGCAGTCTGGTTACTGTCACAACATGGTATGGTACTGCAATCGATACGATACATACACGTTCTTTCCAGTGTCTCGCGCTCTCCCCGCCCAGCCCAGGCCAGAATGATCACCTCGTCCGGTGGTGCGGCTTGCCGTGATCATTCTTGCATCCGAGAAAGGGCAAACACAATGCACCCCAAGCACAGCGCCTGGTTCGAAACCTTCTTCTTAGTGAAGCTCCAAGAGCCAGATGGCAGCTGATCGAGGTTCGCTGCACTGACCCTGACAGGTTGTTGACTGTACTCTTTTCGTGGTGAAACTTTCACCAATAGGTTTTCTCGGACAACAAACAGGTCGAGAAGCGCAGCGTCATCATGACTTCCGCCCTAAATTAATCAGAATGAGTTGTGCCCTGAGTGAGGGAATGAGGGAGTGCTGCTCCTCATCGCAATGTTCTGACTGGGGCGCATGCGATCGGACTGCAACTCCATCATGTCTCCTGCTCTGGCTGTGGCTTGCCTCATGCGGACGATTTCCCGATCCGCTTACTTACTTAATGATACTTACTACGTACGATACTAAACTACAATTCAGTCGGCTGATTCTCGCGATTCCAATCGGATACTTCCACTGGTGTTGTTCGACTGACGAGGTCCAAACAGGCAGTGCTGCGGTCTAATCCGCTACCACTATTTCCTCTCTAACAATCTATTCTTGCAGACGGGTCGAAGTAGATAGCTGACGACGGAAACGCGTGGTGGAAGCTGGGGCTTGTTGCTGGTTGAAATTAAAGGGTGAGGAAATCCTGCAGCACCCAGCCTCAACAGGCAACAGAGCATCAGCCATCAGCCATCAGCATTCAGCATTCAGTTGGACTTTACTGTGTATACCACCCCCAAACCTTCAGGCAGGATAGTGTAACAAGTTTCCGATCGGTATGTTCATCAAAACACGGGGTCAACGTGCTGCTGCTGCTGAGATTGACAGTGTGTCGGACCGTCAAACGTGGTTCTACAGGAGATGATCCTTGGGGTTCAACCCCCTCCTCCATCTCTCGTATTCGTTTGCTCACCCCTTGGTCTTCCTGTTGATCCTGGAAATGATGCCGAGCCATTATTGTTGCCTGCTGGCATGAGAGTGGAGCATTTGGTGGTGGGCTGTGAAGGACTGAAGGTCAGAGCGAGCTTGGGCCAAGCAGGACAACGTGTGGCTTGGAAGGTTTGATCAGCATCCATCCACATCCCCCTTCTGAATTACTCGTAACCAACGTCAAGAATACACTGTAGATTTTCGGATGATACCTTTGGGATTGGACAGGTTAGTTTGCTCGTTGCATCATCGACGGTTGCTCTGGGGAGGGACCAAAGAAGCAGATACGGAGAATCGAGGGTCATCGACATCATCGGACATCATCGAGTAAACGAACGATCCGGACGGGGCAACGGAAGCGCGGGAGAGCCACAACAACCCGGATCCGGATTGTTGTTGTTGCCCTGTCTTCTTTTTTTCCTTCTAGAATTTCGACTGGACCTCCTTTGACATCAGTCGGTAGAACTGCCATCCACGCCACAGTAAGTCGAGTGCGCCGTATTCAACATCATTCAATCAATCACTTCGTGCCTGCTAGCTTCACCGCTTGCTGCAGGTAGAGTAACATACAGTACTTACAGTACTGAGATGCAAAACAAGAAGCTGCAGCGCGATCACCTGATGCCCTCGTGCCCGTCGGGCAACAAATGGAAAAGACAGAAGAGAGGGAGACAATGAGGTCATGCCGCATGCCCTGCATGGGCAACACCGCACTTTGTTTACTGTACTCCATCTTTCAATGCCTCTCGGCCCAGCTTTGCCGGCCGAGGGGCCGGAAGGGAGGATGAACACGCTGCATAACTCTCATTTAACCTTCTCTCGATGATCCTCGCCTCCTCCCTTGACCATGACCATGAACATCATAGTCTAATGCAAAAGTCAAAATGAAACTAAGACATTCACGTGCACGGTCAATAATGGATGTCCTATCGATGCATCACAAAGGAGTTTAATCTATTGGTCTGATCCAGCCACCATTCAACAACAATAAAACAAATGCAATTGCCTCCCCCTTCCCCCGCTCCTTTCCTCTAGCGGAGTCTACTTTTGCAGCAAGTGCATCAATCCACAGCGACTATTAACTCACCTCGAATAACCGCAGGCTGTAGATCAATAATAACTCACAAGTGCAACATGTAGTCACATACCTCTCTAACCACCCGCAAAAACGACTGCAAGTACCCCACATTCCTCGATGCCGATCACCCAGACAAATCCACCAAACTGCAACACCGGCCGGAATGCCTGGCAGGGCTGGCTGGTTTGAGGCTCATGTTTTGCAGCGCGAGCTATTGTGGCAGTGCGGTCTTGCGTGTGCTGAGCTGGAATGTTGATCCGTTTGTAGTTGCTGGTGATTCCGATTGGGTGGGGGTGCCGTGAGCACAGCCTGCCTTGAGGGCCGGGGCGGGGGGTGGTCTGAGGAATGGCTTGGCTTTACCTGTAGGCTGGGTTATCTAGGGCTTGACTGGTTGATATCTGGGGGTAGCTTGGGGCTGTGGTGGCGGAGTTATGCGTAAGAGACTACAGTTGATTTAGGTGGAGGGATTTACTGGAAGTCACAGTCGGCTATTGTATGGAGGCATGTTTTGTGGTGGCTAGGGTATAGGGGGTCAGATGGAGTGTCTAATTTGTAGAGGGTTCTATGCATGGCCCTTTCTGTTCGTTGTGATTCTACATGCGACTCTTTATCAGGCAGGTAAGTGGTGTCTTGGTGTCTTCCTATGGGTAGCTCCCATTGGGGAGTCATATCGCGTTGGAGGGTTTTCCGCGCTGGCGCAAAGCAACGTTGTTTGTGAACCTTGAACTCCCTGTATTCCATTTTACTATCGATATCAATATCGACCCATGTCACATAGCCCTCTATGCGGTCGATCAATCATAATCCGGTATCATCCAATGCACGTTGCACCCCGCCCATTTTGCAGCCCGCTTGAACGCCAAAAGAACAAACAAAATCTATAAAGAAAGGAATCATTGCTGATTATCCCCTTAGTGAGTATCCGCCAGCATCTGGAACCCCTTCACCAGTCCCATCGCTGACCCGGCGGCAACGCCCCCAACTAGGACCATCTGCAATCCGCCGATGAGGCCTCGCCGAATATTCCGGGATCCCCTCCATCCACTGACGAAGCACGTCTTACCATATCCAAACAGGAACAGCGCGACGACCATCGTCGCAATTGACCATTGCAAGGCATAGAAGGCACCATGCGGCCCGACGAAGAAGTACGGGAGGAGCGGCACAAATCCACCGATGAAGTACCCCAACGCGATGGTCAAGGCACACACCCAGGCTCGCGACCCGGACGGCTCCTGAACGGTATGATGGAAGTTCATGAGGAAGGAGGGGAGCATGGGAGACGTGGAGAGGTGTCGTGTGAGCTCCCCCACCAATTCCGAGGGGAGATCATAGGGGGCAAAGACATTCGAAATGGTGTCAGTCACCGAGGCGGGGTCGGTCAGAATCTCTGCTTTGGTCTCTTTTAACGTCGCTCGATAGGACTCCCTAGACGAGAAGGAAAAGACCCAATTGTTAGATCGTTGCTTTTTCTTTGGACTTATGTTTTGGCGCACATCAAATCCCGCTTCGCCTCCCCCTCACGCATTGACGGGAAGTATAAAGTAGGAAAGTGGATACTACTACTTACTCCTCACTCTTTGCACCCAGATAACCCCCCAACCCCATGGAGATAGCGCCTGCAATGAGCTCGGCCATGCCTCCAAAAACTACCACTCTGGTATCGCCCAGGGCCGATAAACCGGCGGTCAGGGCAAATGGCACCGTCATGCCGTCGGAGAGGCCGATGATGGCGTCGGAGACGATGCGTCCATCGATGAGTTTCGACTCCTTCTTCTCCACCCCTTCCCGACATACTGAGCTGCTTGAGCCGGCGGTAGACTCGCTATCGCTCTCGTGCCGCAGGGATAGTGGATATTCTTTCTCCAGATCGTGTTGTTGGTGGTATTCAGAGACGGGGGAATAGCTGGATAGCAGTCCTTTGATGGAGGAGATAGACATATCGACGGCTGGGAGACTGTCACTTTGTGGAAGAAGAAATAAATGCGGGAGACTTGATCTGATCACACTCGGTGTGTGACGGGTCACTGGTTAATATACACGGCGGGAGGATCGTCGCTCGACTAGTCTTTTCTGGAATTGGAAGGAGAGTAAGAGGCGAAGAATAAGGAAAAATTTTGTGGTATTTTCTCCGGAGTGAAAAAAAAAAAAAAAAAACAGGGAGTAAAATCAAGGCAAAACTATCAGCGTGAGCTCTAGTGAGATTAGAGAGCCGTCGGGGCCGTCGGGTATAGATATGGTTTCGAGCGACAGATGTCAAGGCACGGAAGAGTCTAGCGAGGCGGAAGAATGCCCCTCGTGCCCTCTTCCATCTTCCAATCTTCCAGGGACCCCATTCAGCTTATCATGGGCCATGTGCACGCGAGAGAGGGGGAATTATTGTAAAGGCCTATGGAGAGAGCGTGAGGGACAACGTGCCTCATGGTCTGGCGGTCATCTGCAGTCGCGGGGTTGGCACGTGCATCTCTGATTGGCCCCAACCTCCGGGACAATGCAAGCTAGAGACCCACCAGGGCTGCGGAGCTCCTGAAGCTTGAACCAGTTCAGCCTATCACATTCGACCATTTCCTAATCGGTGGTCTAAAGTGGATGTACTTAGTGTCACTACCTGAGATACTAAGCTCTCTATGTACTAGGTAGGGACGGGCTAGCGTCCTTTCTCTTCTAGACCCTCCAGCCCACCTGATATGCATGCATCTCTACTGCAATGAACAGGCACGCTTGAATCACGCTGCCCTTGACGCTCGCTGCAGAGGATGGGACTTGGTACCACCTCTCCAACCCGTTCCTTGCAAGCGGAGCGCCCTAGCTACCCCCTTGAACCGGGCTAGAGGCGCCGTCTCAACCTCCTCCTCCCGTGATCAAGACCAATCAATCGAGCAGCTGATGCACATCTTGCAATCGCGACCTCCAACTGCCCGGCCTTTCACTCTTCCACGCCTGCATCGGCCTCCCAATCCCCTCATTCTTCTGCTGCTGCGGAGTGCATCCGGAGCATCTCTATCGCCCCATCCTAGCTGCAATTGCGGGCTGTCTCACGCGCGCTAGAATTCATCTCCACAGCGTGCAGTCCACGATCCCGTGCCATTGGCCATAGTCATTCTCACCGATCATCATAACTGCGAAGAAACTTCCCTGCTTCTGGAGGGAAGTGGGACGAGCTGCTCAAATCATGTCGCGTGTGAACCTGCCTATCTCCGAAGGATGTCGGTGTATGCCGAAGCAGCCGGCACGCGCTGTTGCACATTGCTGATGGGAAGCCAGGGGGAAGAGGGGAGATGGGGAGAGGGGACGAGGATAAATATCGCCCCTCCCTGCTCCCCCGACAGGAGAATGGACCGGATTCCGAAGAGCAGAACGAAGCTTGCGACGGACGGCTGCAGACTGAAAGCAAGCGAAGATGAAGTTGAGCGTGGCGACGATCTCAGCTTTGGCTACTCTAGCCACTGCTGTTCCTCACAAGCAGAACAGTGCACAATGGGATCAGGTTCGCTCAAATGTACGTTTTTTACCTTTTCTCCAGACCCCCCGGTAGTCTGCAGCATCAGATTGACTGGGGCGCAGATCAAACATGTTATCTATCTGATGTTGGAGAACCACTCGTTCGACAACATTGCGGGCTACTGGGATTTCCACCCGGACATTGACAACCTGCGCAACATCGAGTACTGCAACGAGTACACTAACCCTAACTGGACGGTGTGGAACGAACCTCTGAACGTGTGCGCGGCCCCGTTTGAGACCGAGGTGCCTCTGACTGACCCTGACCACAACTTCGCGGGTGTCACCTACGAAATCTTCCGCAAGTGGAACGTCACCAAGGATGATGTTCCCAACATGGGTGGCTTTATTGAGCGCCAATCGGAGAAGTACAGTGCCACTCCTGGCGAGTCCAGCTTCGTCATCAAGGCCTACGATGAAAAGAAAACGGCGACTCTGGCGGAAGTTGCCAAGAACTTTGCCTTCTGGGACAGTTATGTGAGTCTTAGTCTTCTACTGCAGGGATACTGGGGTACTTGTTGTACTAACGGGTAGCAGCACGCGGAGCACCCGGGTCCTACCAACCCCAACCGTCAGTTTGCTACTTCGGGCTCTACCTGCGGTATGGTCGACAACACTCACCAAGCTGCTGGGTGGTATGCGAACTACACCGGTACCTCGTGTGCCACCTCAATTTTCGAGTCCCTCAGCAAGAAGAACATCACATGGAAGAACGTGAGTTGACCACACACATGTACATTGGCATGCACTAATGTATTGTTTGCAGTACTATGAGACCGCCATTGTCGACTCATACATGTACAAGGTACGATTTATTCTCGTATAGATGGTCGACCATCATGATACTCACCTCGTTCTAGTGGGTGCAAGACAATGCCATGGACCGCCTGGTGCACTCGGACCAGTTCTACCGTGACCTCGAGGAGGGCACTCTTCCTCAATTCTCCTACTACAACCCAGAATGCTGCACCATCGACTCGATGCACCCAACCAGCAACATGGCCTCGGGCGAGCAGCTGATCAAGCATCTGTACGATGCGGTGCGCAAGTCCAAGTACTGGGACAATGTGTAAGTGCTTCAAGTCTTTTAGCCCGGCTTAGTGCTGACTAGAAACCATGCAAACAGTCTCATCGTCCTCAACTTTGACGAGCACGGTGGTTTCGCCGACCACGTCCCCACCCCCGTCAACATCCCCCAGCCCGAGGACGGCATCACCTTCTCCGGGGTCTCGGACGGCCACAACGTGACCTACGACTACACTCGTCTGGGTGTTCGGTAAGTAACTAGTTTCTCTCCGCGTCTCTCTCCCTTATTATTCTGGTCTAACCGAACCCTGTCTGAAACAGCGTCCCCGCGTTCCTGATCTCCCCCTGGGTACCCGCCAACCACCTGATCCACGACCAGGGCACCAACTACGCCGACAACTCGGCCTACACGCACACCTCCATCCTGCACTTCCTGCAGGAACTGTGGGGGCTGGACGGACTCAACAACCGAGTGCAGTGGGCCAAGACCTTCGAGTACCTCTTCACCAACCAGAAACGCGAAGACACGCCGGAGAAGCTGATGACGCCGACCTGGTACGGGAGCAGCTGGGAGCCCAAGCCGAAGCCGTTCTACAAGTTGAACCAGAATTACGATTATTATGAGAATCAGTAAATACGACAACGAGAAGACGACAGGACGATGTGATGTCTATGCCAAAAGAAAAGAAAGACAGAGGGGGAACTCAAGAGTCTTAGAGCTAATATAGAGTATAGTATAGTGTTCATATTTTAGCAATCATGACTATCATGTCTCGTTAGAGCTGTCCCTTGAAAAGGACTGTGCTCGGCGTGAATCATACAACGCCACCACCACCAATTCTTCGTAAGGGCAGTAATGGCCCAGAAAAAAGGACTTTTAACGGAACCCTCTTCCTCATCCACCCACTTCATAAACAACACCCCTCTTTCTCCCGATATCCCCTCCTCAAATACCTAGCAAGTCACTTCCGCTTACTACTCTTCACTGCTGCCGCCGATGGGGCATTCTTCTTTTTATCGTCTTGCCCCCAAACCGTGGGCTTAGTCATATCCCAAAACCGACTCTTATACGCAGGGAAAGAGGTATGATTCCACATGTTGACCAGGACACTACATAATCAATGAAATGTTAGCTTATTTGCTTTCTGCCTTGAATCGAGACAGCAGGGGATGGGCGTTGGTTGGTTGGTTGGTTAGTTGGTTGGTTGGCTGGTTGGTTGGTTGTTGTTCCTCCCAGCCAACGATCCCCAAACCAAAAGCCAAGGAAGGGTATAAGGCAACGAACCTCTGACTCCGATCCAAGTACTCCTCATCTTGGACCTCGCGCACCCCGACCTTCATGCCCTCGCGTGTGAACATGACGTTCTTGCCTTCCATCTTGGAGCGCGTGTGCCGCGATACGTCCTGGACGATGGAGTAGGCGACGTAGCCGATGCCGGCGAGGATGAGGAGGACGCCGAGGAGGATGAAGAGGGGGGTTAGGCGGGCGGACATTTTGTGTAATGGATCTCTTTTGAGTATAGTATTTTTGGGGTTTTGTGGGGTCGAATGTCGCTCTTCGTGAGGTTTCTGGTGTCGATCGGGGTGGTTGTTATGGTGTAGAAGTGGTTGATCGAATTGCGAACTGCAAGAAGGAATCCGTAGGGCTGCGGGTTTGTTGCGATCGGGTGATGTAATACTCAATCACGGCGAGCACCTGTTCGGGAACTACTTGGGTTTAGTTCGTGTGTGGACTGTGGAGGTGGAGGAATGATGGTCGTAAGTGAAACTTTGTTAGCGGAAGGATGGGAGGAAGGAAGGTAGGAAGAAGCGTTAGGTTGGCTCTAGGTTACCACTAGGTATCCTTTATATAAGGCAAGCCAAAAGACCTGCGACCGCAAATTATCGGTTTCTTTCTGCTTCAACCTAGGTCCACGGTTCAGTTCTCATTACAAACCTGCCCTCTCTTTTTTCCCCTTCTCGCCTTGTAAGGCCAACCACCGGTTGCTGCCAAGCCTGGGCCAAGCGTTGGGGAAATTCTGGTGCCTGGCTTGGATTTCGCCCTTTGGCTCACAGCACACAGCACAGGGCGCAGTCGTCTGCACTCCTGTGGCTGAATGGCTGTAGGACAGGGGGGTTATTTTTGGTTTTACTATAGTTAACAATGAGTGGTGTTTGTCAGGGGTTGCGGGTTGAGTGAATGGATGTAGGACAGGCTTGGTTGAGATGCTGAAGTGCTGCCTGCGTTGAGGGGTCGTTTGTCGGCAATGCATGCAATCAAGTTGAGGGGGCCAATTGCTGAGGGGAGAGAGGGGCTGACATTTTGCATTCTTGCTGCACCTAGTGATTTTATGAAGGTCCGAGATTGAGTCAGACAATACCAATATTCTAATGAGGTGTGGCCTTGCATGGTGTCGCTTGGCTCGATGGCACTTGACTTGTGCACATGCCAGTTATCCTCGCTGGGCCGTCACTGAATGAGCAACAGATCACTTCGCGTGGTACACTTCGTTCCAAGGACTTCATCTGTCAATATCGTCAACGACATTAGGGACAGATCGCAGTGCTTGATATCAACTCCTCCGGCCAGGCTAGTCCTCAAGCATATTTAAGCTTTCATACATCATCCCTGACTCCACTACAACACTTATACAAGCCCGAACATCGAACGATGGGGTGGAAGCAACCTGCACTGAGCTCAATATGACAACTATATGTGTTTCGGGATCTATATGACCCCTACGGTGCTGGCAGCTTCATATCGAACTTCAGGGTCCACACCACGGTGAACACCAGTTAGCACATTTGTCTTGCAGGCCACGAAGCTTCGAAGCGGTTCTTGCGCTATGATACTCCTGCTACGCTCAGTCGGGTCCTGGCGAGCCCTGGTGATTCATTTCGAGGTCGTCAAGACGACGTCAACTTGTTGCTTGCTGCTCTACACACTGGCTGAATCCATCTGTGCCTGTTTTCCATCCTCTAGCATATATTCCAGGCCTGTGACCCGGGGCTTTAGTGAAAGACTATCGGGAGTTCAGATGGCAATTGACAGATGCTAGGGATTGAGCTGGAGCTCTATCGGATGATTGCGACCTTTGATGCGGAAACCCGATAAGGTGATGTAGAAGAAGAAGAGGGAAGGTCATTTTCTGTCAAGACTATAATGCTTTGATGCCATAATTGAACCAAAAGAGAGTGAGATCTAGAAATGTTTGGGGCACGGTGTACAGAGTATAGTTGCAGACCCAGCTATACCCAAAGGCGGATCTTCACATCTTCTACATACCCACAAGAGCTCGGCTGCGATGCAACAAAGGGTATACTAAATACCGCGTAGACTGATACAACAGAATGAACCACTATAATTAGTGAGTAGCATTCGGATGGCCCCGAAGGATGCATGCCATGCAAGGTACAGTACAACAGCAACGACCTCTCTCCGGGAACATCCTTGACAACGAGCACACCACACCACAACACAACCTTGAACGCATGAGAACATCCAAATTTATACCCAACGAATCACAGCCCTTCAGCAACGCAGTAACATGATCAACCCCGTACGCCCAGTATACTAAGTTACAGCAATTGCACCCCGCAAACCAAGTTCATGCACTCACCACCAACTGTCGTCATAATGAATCATGCGCGACCATTACCTCACCACCAACTCCATCGAACAAGGTTAACTGTCTCGATTGAACACAACCAGTTCAATTGACCCAACTACACAAAAACCCACTAGGTAATAACTAAGACAGACATCTACATAGCCAAGCAGTCCCGAAGAGACAGTGACAACCATAGATAATCTAGAACAACCCTCGTACCTCTCCTCCAATACCCAACTCCCCCATACCCCCAAATTGAGAAACCACACCCGCCTCAACACCCCAAAAACAAGCACCAACAGGGGGAAAAAAAATAATGTGCGACATCCCCTTCATCCCGATCCTCCCGATCTGCTTCCAATGCGGCACAGACCAGAACCCCTGCCGCTGTAAAGTCGTCGGGCCAACCCTCGGTAAGAACTCCCTCTTTTCCTCCGGGACACTCCAAAGCCTCGGTATAGCTAGCTATGTAGTAGCTTCGATAAAGCTAACACCAACCGATTCAGGATTCATCTGCACGGTGGTAGCTGCTGTATGTTTTTCCCTTCTTATATGCTTCCCGGGTAGGCTGTGGGAGATGGATTAATTGACTGGGTAACGGTAATCAGGTGATCTGCTATCCGGCTTCGATCTTTTGTGGGTGCTGTTTGACGCAGAAGGGGAAGGAGTATGTTGTTCCCCCTTTCCCCTCTTTTTCGTTGTGTAGGCTTGTGGAGAGGAGATTTGGGCCGTTTGAGCTGATGCTTTGTGACTTCAGTGTGTTGGGGTATCCGGTGAAGGTGAATGGGATTGTCAGTAATGCGATACCCATTTGATTGTTTAGAATTGAGATGGATTGGAGGGGCTGGGTATGGTAGATAGGTGCGATTAATACCATATATTAATGATGCTCGCGATCAAGGGGTCTTACTCATCTACGAGAGATGATTAGGCTGGAGTAAAAGTACAAACTAAACATGATCTTACTCATTCAATAAAATCTCATTATTCATCAAGCGATCGATTCATTATACGTAACCATGTGCTAACTACCTAAGGTATTTTGAAGCAGCGAACGAGAAGGACGAACACAAAAGGTATCCAGACAATCAATCATAGAAAGCACGCAAAAGAAAAAGTCCTCCACCCATTATACACCATTAGCGAGAACAACTGTCGTTGGTATCCCGGGTCTGTCGTATCAATGTAGTAATCAATGCTTCAACTTCTCCTTGAGGCGAGAGAAGAATCCCTTCTTCTTTTTCTTCGACTCTGCCTTGCCGTTGGTTGCCGCGCCGGTCGCAGCGTTGTTGTTGGTAGGTTTGCTTGCGGAGGCACTGGTGTTGTTGTCGTTGGTACTGGTGGGAGCATCAATCTTCTGTGCAGGCGCGGAAGCATCCTTGTTGGTGTTGGCGGTGGCTGGGGTTGGGTCGGATGTCTTGGTAGCACTAGCGCCGGTGGCACCAGCAGCAGGGGCAGACACAGCGTCGTCTGTGGTGGACTTGCTGGGTTGGGCAAGCTTCTTGGACTCTACCGGCTTGCTGGTGTCCAGGTCGTCGGCAGTCTTGGTCGCGCTGGAACCAGTGACCCCCGCTGTGGGAGCGGAGGTAGAACCATCGCCAGCTGCAGCAGTCGAGCCGCCATCGACCGCGGAGTCTGCGGTCTTGGTAGCGCTAGAGCCAGTAACACCGGCGGTAGGAACCGAAGCAGAAGTGTCGTGGACTGGACCGGAGCCCGACTTCTCCGGGGCTTTGGCAGAACCGACCCCCGTGGTCACCACCGGTTCGGCTGGCTCGTATTCCTTGGGGGAGAGCTGGTCCGAAGCAGCGACAGCACCAGCTGTAGAAACAGCGGTAGAGGTGTTCTGGACAGGGCCGGGACCCGACTCCTTCGGGGCCTTCGCAGAATCGACACCCGTAGTTACCACTGGTCCATCAGTAGGACCCTTTGCTTTGGAAGAGAGCTGGCTTGAAGGAGCAGCCGCACCAGTAGGCCGGGGGGCAGTCTCCGTAGTGGCGGCACTGAGCGCAGGCGCAGGGGGGCCAACAGAGTTGTTCACGCTGATTTTCTGCTGAAGCTCTTCTTCCACTTCTTTCTTCTCCTCGACGACCTCTTCGTTGGCAGCCCATTCAGGGTGTTGGTGGGCCTTCTCAAGTGACTCCTTCACCACATCCGGGAGCTCCTCCGAGGGAGATCCACCTGTCGACCGTTTCGGCCTCTGAGACTCAAGGGGCACTGCAGCAGCAAGGGCAGCCGTAGTCGAGGTGGGTGCAGCCGACTGGATCGTATATCCTGGATCTCTGGCATCCTGGGTCGCATCGCCGCCCATGGGCAAGCTTGACTCGGGAATGGTGTTCTTCGTCACAGGTGGAAGGGAGAAAGCGCTGCCGTCTTGCAACGATTCTCCGGCCCCAGGCAGACTGGCGCCTCGCTCATACGCACCCCTGTCGAAACGTGCGGTGGACTGGATCGTGTTGGGGTTGAAGGTGCTAGAGTCAGGCACCTTCTCCCCAGGAACCAACTTGATGGGGTTGCCAATACCACTGGATGCAGGGATGGGGTTCACGGAGAACTGTTCAGCCTCACCGCCGGGAGTGCCTCCCGGGGTGACTGGATATGATCCTGGCACGGTTGCCCGTTGTTCCAAGGGGACTTCCTGTCCAAGTTTGGCAGTTGTCGAACCGGGTGCTGCAGACGAGAAGATAGGGTGGTAGCCATTGGCCTTGCTGCTGGATTCCCTGGGTACTCCAGCCGCCAGAGCAGCGGTAGTTGAATCGGGGGTTACACCGGCCATGCCGTTCTGTAATGGTTGTTGGATTTGATCGGGATAGAGCACGTTGTTGATGTTATTATCACCGTCGTCTTCTTCGGGGACTCGATTATCAGTGGTCCAAATACCGTCGACGACGAACTTTAATCACGAGAGAGAAAGAGAAACAATGTTAGTGAGTGGATCTCATGATGGCGCAAACCAACGATTGTGCGAGTCTTATAGTTTCAAGAAGAGCGACGGGCGGGCAGGCTGGCCGTGGCATGACGTCAGCACGGTGCTGCGCAACCCACCACCGAGCGTCATCACCCGTCGTCGATAGGGTCGATCAGGCCAGCCCGTGTATGGATCCAGCACGGGCACGTAATCGCAACACCCGCCCGGTGTATGAATGAAATAAAAGGAAAGGATTAGGGTGTGCAAACAAAGGTGAACGAGCAAGGGGGTTCCTGGGGCAAAGAAATACCTTATACTGGATCTTCTCATCGGTGGCCGGAAGCTCGACCTCTTTCTCGAACACATCCCCATTGCGGTCCAGTCGGACGGTTTTGCCCCAGTCGTCAAACGTCCCCGTCACATACACTTCGCTTGCATTATACGGCCTGGTTGGTCCCCATGCGATGAGCCGCAACGGTCAGCGAACACAAATGCCTGGCGCTGGGTCCGGAAGGTGTCGGGGATGATGGCAGCAGTCATAGACACCCCGAGAGATGCTCATTGGAGGTCCGAACTTCAAATTGGGGAAGCGAATACTTGATCGCGCGAAGTGAGATGGCTAACTTACCATCGAAAGGTATAGGTCCCCATCTTCTATAGTGGAGATGAGGGTTGGGTGATTGCGCCCAGAGTGGAAGGTGGAAAAAATAATACGGAGACCAGAGTGTTTCAGTCGGGAGTAAATACTCCAGGCAGGTCAATGAAAAAGCGAAAGAAAGGAAAAGGAACGACCAGCAAAAAGAAAACAGGAACAAGCGCGGAGACAAATTCCTGACTATCGCACGAAGGGATTCTGCTATGTAGGTAGGTAGATAGATAGGATAGACAATGCTGTTGACAGACAAGGAGCGAAGGGAAAATATGACGACGACGAAGATGGAAGAGAGAGGAGGCTGGGGATTCAAGGTTGATTGATTGCTGGGAGCGAGCGGGGTGGCGGCCACCACGACCACAGAGCACTGCACACACACCCAAACCACCTTCCACACCACGACAAATATTTACACACAGACACACTTCAATTTCTAGATAGCTACACTACCGCCGGCCAGCACGGACACCTAAGCTGAATCACTCCTGAAGTGAATCCTATTGGTGAATTGACCAGGGGGCAACAACACATTAAGGAACCCTGACCTACTACTAGGTACTACTGTACCTACAGAAGGGGCAGATTGGATGGATCCCTATCACAGTCTCAAAGGGTGATTGGCGCGCGTTCTAGACTAAATGCTGCTGCTGGCTGGTTGACTGGCTGGCGGGTACTCGAACAAATCTCCTGCCCAGCCCTGCCCTGTACAACTCAGCTTGTGCGTGCCCGTGCTGACAGCTGGCGGCGTCTTATCAGCCCTCAGGGTTCGGAACCTTTGTTGCAAGATGCAAGCATGGGAAGGCGCTGTCGATGGCTAGGTTTATATTCCGACAGCCGGAGGGAGATGGTTGGTTCCCTTCTGCTTCAAATATTCTCATCACTTGAGTCCCTATGGAATTAGAACCTCAGGAGGAAACTTTAGTCAAGGATTGAGCGCCTGATGGGCAACACTGAGCGTCCCTATCGGAACAGAAGAGAGAAAGAATCAAGGCTGCCCAGCACGTGAAATTCTAGAACCATCCCTCGCAAGGAACCAGATTCTGCAGCAAAAGCTAACCGGTAAATCTTGCAGTTTTGCACTTGGCTTGAATCGAAGCAAGCAACTGGGAAAGCGAGTGAATCATGATCCATGATCGCATTCATCCTGTCAATCGGTAGGGAGCGAAAGCACGGACTCCCCCACTACACCGCAAAAGGTCCCGTCGAAAACGGCGATCCTGAATGAGATAAACGGCGTCGGCGCTTAACTCGGTCGGGAATGGCTACCTCGGTGAGTGCCACTGCTGAGTGAGCATGGAGAGGGCCAGAATCCACCATCCATGGATCCCCATAGCAATGCGATTGGGGAAACCTTCCCTGGGAGTAACAGTAGAGAACCTCGACCCATGATGGCATCTTGACATCCATTGACCCAGAGTTCCGAAAGAGAAAAAGGGGCCGTCCCGAGCAAAACGTCAACAAGAAATTCGATGGTTGCGCAACGGCTCGCAAGGATTGACTCCTGTTGGCGTTGGCTATGACCTCAGCGAGCAGATCATCCAAAGGGAATCAGCATCGCTTTCACCAGTCAATTCGCCACCAGCAGCATGTTGGAAGAGAAGGTGTTGACATCGATGAATTTCTATCGGTGGGGGAAACAGTGGGTAAAGAAGAAAGGCAACGGAGAGGTGAGGGGTATCTTCTTCTCCTTCTCTTCAGACGTGATCATTCAGGAGTCAAGGGATGAAGTGGGTTTAACCACAAGTCGATTACTGACCGCCATCCTCCAAATCGAATCCATCCCAGTAATAATGCCACAACTGTCTCCGCTCTCCGGTGGCGCAATGAATCACCATCATGTTCTAGAAGACATTTGGAAGCCCCTTAGCCACCAGATCGAAGCTTCGATGCCATGTCCGTTCCCGGCTGAAGGATTGACCATCCCCATCTTTTCCTCTGCCCCGTCTCTCCTTTTTCTTTTCTTTTTTCTTTTAAAAAAATCTTAGCAATTCCCAGTCCCGAGTTTCGGGTTATTTTAGATTTTGATCAGGAGAGGAAGGTTACAGATAGGCTCCCCACTCAATTCCTTCTTTCTAACCACTCTTGTGATTGTTCGTGTAGACTATTGAGCCGAGCACCTCCGCTATTGAAGGCGTCGACGGGCTAGTCGAGCAAACGAGCGGGTGACGTTGATCCAGACCATCCGAAACCGAAAGTCCCCGTTAATTAAGGAGGTGGAATTTGTTCTGGAAGGAAGATAGAAGCCATTAGCTCGACTGGATAAGGAGTCCACTGAGATCCCGATAATCAATTAATCCACTCTACTTGATAGACAACACAATGGGCAATGTCCCTGGGAAGAACAGAAGAGACAGGTCAAGCATGTAGATATAGAGGGAGAAGGAGGAGGAGAAGGAGGAAGTCAAGTAATGATCGGCCACCATGAACAAACTCTCTTAGTCGGTAAGAAGCAGAAGACGAAGAAGCTTGCAAGAAGCTGCTGCTGCTTCCCGCAATTCGTGTCTTTTTCTCCCCTCCTTTTTCGGTGTCAATCCCTTTTTCTGCAAACTTCCCCCCTCGGGATCACGTAGTGTGTAGCACCACCACCAACACCACCACCATCATCATCACTACATACGCACGCACCACACACCATCTTGAGTATCTGCCCCTTTTTCTCATTAGGTGATTATTCTAGTGAGTAATAATTCCCTACTAGTTAGTTCGTCACCTGGACAATCAGTTCATCTCCGTGCAGGCAAAGTCCCACGCGACCCTGATTTAAGTTGAGCGGTGGTGCCCCTCCCCAGAGCTTGCAGCTGGTGACTTCACAACTACTTCTACTACTACCACTTCTACTTTTTTACCTTGTACTGGAAGTTTTTTTGCTCTCCCTCTGTCTGTCTGTCTGTCTTGCTCCTATTACAGTTCTGCTCATAGAGTGTCTTGAATATCGCTTTAAATACCCTAGTACCGACTTACTCTACCTCAGCTCAACTCTCAAATTCCCTTTGAATTTCTATAACTACTCAACAACAGCTTTGCATCAGCTTCCACAGCTGCTTGCGAAAGTCAAACGATCTGGAAAGGTTCCCGAGCTTCGAAGCACGAAGATCCAATAAGGCCGTGTTGCGCCGCTCGAATCCCCCCCACCTCGACCACAATCCGTTTGCCTTTTTGATTTGATTCTCATCCAGCGATCGGGCTGGTCGGTTTCCCTACCCGCCCCTCCCTTCCTTCCATCCCCTCCATCTGCCGCTGCGTGTGTGCTTGCTTGCTGCAGACCAGACTAGCTGCTACCCTGTTCTCCCCCTCCCCCTCCTCTTTTCTCGGATCTCTTCTTCCTTTTTCCCCTTCTTCCCTCCTTCAATTTCATTCCCATGACTACCGCTTCTCTTCTATATCCTTCCTCTCCATCTCAGACTCGACATTCGTCTTGTTCTCTTCCTCCACCCGATTCAAGCTTAGCTCCTGATCTACGTCAATCGAGCCCCTCCCCTCCTTCTCGGCCGCTGCAGTCGTGGTCGCCCGAGCGTCCAATTTCCCCGCTTAACACAGGCCGGACCTTCACCTTCTCCAGCCCTTTCCTCCAGAGAATGGCCGAAAGCACTTTTCCTCCCGGGGGAAATCAACCCCTTCGCGTGGGCACCAAAGACGACAACAAGCCCGCCAGCACTTTCCACAAGATCGCGGAGGACGAGGAGTACGAGGTGACGTCACCAACCGATCCGACTTTTCGCACCGCCAACGCCCCCGCCGCCGCCTCGTCCTCGACTGGCAACAGCTTGTTCGCAGGTGGTGGTTTTGGTGAAAATGGAGGTGCCATCCGTTTCAATACCCGAAGCCCATTTGACGATGGTTCGCGCGAGGAAGATGAGGCTGCCGACGACTTCCCGCCAGGCGACATCCGCCCAACCGGGGTCCCCAACCCTGGCCTCCCCAGCAACTATGCCTTGGGACGGAGGACATCGGTGTCCGCAGAGTCGTTGAATCCCACCTCGGCTGGCTCGGACAGCTGGGCGCCGCCGCATCACCCCAAGTCTGATGAGCAAATTGCGCGCTTGAAGACCGCCGTTAGCAACAACTTCCTTTTCGCCCATCTGGACGACGATCAGTTCAAGACCGTGCTTGATGCGCTGGTGGAGAAGCCCATTCCCGCCAAAGACATCAAAGTGATTTCGCAGGGTGATGCGGGAGACTACTTCTACATCGTCGAAGACGGCCATTTTGACGTCCTCATCCACCCTTCGGGCTCGGTGCAACCGGGTCCGGACGGCATGGGAAACAAAGTCAGCACCATCGGCCCTGGTGGCTCATTCGGAGAGCTGGCTCTCATGTATAATGCTCCTCGTGCTGCGACCGTGGTGTCGGTGGACCCGAAGAGCACCCTCTGGGCTCTGGACCGCATCACTTTCCGCCGCATTCTGATGGATTCGGCCTTCCAGCGTCGTCGTATGTACGAGGCTTTCCTGGAGGAAGTGCCCCTGCTGTCTAGCCTTAAGCCCTACGAGCGGTCGAAGATTGCCGATGCGCTGGACGCCAGCAAATACCCGGCCGGGTCCACCATCATCAACGAGGGCGATCCCGGTGATGCCTTCTACCTGCTTGAAGCCGGTGAGGCGGATGCCTTCAAGAAGGACTTGGACGGACCTGTCAAGTCCTATAAGCGCGGAGATTACTTCGGTGAATTGGCGCTTCTGGACGACAAGCCCCGTGCTGCCAGCATTGTTGCTCGCTCGGAAGTCAAGGTTGCTCGGCTGGGCCGTGACGGGTTCAAGCGGTTACTGGGGCCTGTGGAGGATATCATGAGACGGGCCGAGTATGAGTCGAAGCCAAACCAATCATGATCTGCATATCAACATTTTTAGACGAGGACACGCGAACTGGGATGGTGCTATGGGGTGGGGTTTATGTTTCATTATTTTGCTGTTCAGTGTACCTGACGCTCTTTTCTGGGAACCTGCCCGAGAGGTGTGGGTTCTGAGATACATGCAAGATGGGTTTGAAGAAAAGCTGCCCTCCGGTTCATTGGCGAAACATTGGTCTTTTAATTATTCTTTGCCCACGGCATTACGGGGTTTCAGACAGATGCAAGTCTTGTTTTGTGTCTAATAGTGGACTCACCGGTACGGGTCGGTGTGCGCCCGGGGAGTTTTCTTTGTTCATAATATGTCTTTTGTGATGGATACATATTTTGTTGCCAGTCAATTGTAGGCCTGTACAGGACTCTCGAAGCTCAGACCCGCAGATTACCGCGCAACAACCAAATCACTCCGCAACACCCATTTCTCTCCATTCAGGACCTCCTTTCCCTCATGCAACATACAGTGCTCGCCATGTCGATGCAGCAGCGCCATACCCGGTACCGGCGCGACCGAGACCGGTTGGGGATTTCGATCCTTCCGCGTCGGCTCGGGGTAGAAGACGGTCTCTCCGCCCTCGCAGCCCGTCAAGTAGATGAGTAGAGTCCATGTAGTGCGAGCCGGCCGTGCTGGCTGCCCTGGCGCGTTGAAAGTGAGGGTATTGGAATCGTCGTCTGATTTACAGATTAGCTGGGTATTCAGGTCTCTACCACCAAAGCCCCATTTAGAAGCTTGATAGACTATCCATTCATTACAACCACCACCACCACCACCACCACGACGTCCACCACTGGCTACATACAGCCCTTCTACCATACTTTGGACCCTTCCAAGAACCATTCCAAGGGGAAAGAAATAGCGGAAGAAAAGAACTCACAATGTTTATCAAAAAACTGACCCCTCGAATACCGATAGATACGAATATTCCCATTCAAACCCAATGGCTCCCCACCCCATACCTCGCGATTGACATTGCCAGCAGCCTCCTTCTCCCTGTTCCCCTCCCCATTCTCCTCCTCGTCGTCATGATCCTCATCCTCAGGATAGGAATACAACCTCTCCTCAACAGCATTCCTCTGACCCGTCACACACCGCTTCAACGCCGTGAGCTCCCAAAGCTGCGCCGCGAACCCCTCGTCCTGCACCTGGAAGCGGTCGTTGACGCGCACCGCGTCGCCGCGTTTCGGGTTCTTGGGTGTTGTCACCAGCGGCAGGGAGGCCAGGAAGCTTGTGTAGGTTTTGCAGAGGGTCTGCGGGAAGAAGTTCGGGATCAGGTAGATTTGGGAGTCGACTAGGGGTTGGAGAGTTGGTTTCGAGGGGTAGAAGTAGGGACTTTTTGGTGTGGGGGGGAGAGGGGGCCATTGGATTTGGGATTGGGTTTCTTTTGGGGGATTTGGGGGTGGTTTTGTTTTTGGTTGGGGGGTTTTTTTGGGCATTTTTCTTCCTCTTTTCTTCTTGTCTGCTGGTGGGAATGGGGGTGGTGGTTTATTGGATGTGGTGTGAGTAGGTGGTGAGGGGTGGATATTTTGCTGGGCGGGTGCAGTGGGCGGTAGGCTTGTTCGTCTACCCCCGGACCAGCAATCTGGGGTACAGTGAGTCGGCTGGGATCTCCCCGGAAACTTTTCTCTGGGTATATTTAGGTGCCCGGTGCTTTACGACCTGGCTTAGAATTGAGGTGCCTGGGAAGCTGAAAGAAAGGGGGGTCCGGGGGTTCTCCCCCGGAACGCTATATCTCTTATTCAACACTGAGGTGCCTGGGAAGCTGAAAGAGAGCGGGTCCGGGGTGGTGGGTGGTTCTTGTGAGCTTGATGGGTTCTTCCCCCCACTACTGGCGATTACTTGTGTTGCAGCTTGTCTATTGTCTGGGAGAAGTCAGGTTGTCGCAAGTGATGTGCGGCGATAATGAGTATAGGGCGTTTTGGTGGAACCATTCGCTGCCTTGGGTCTACAACTGACAATAGGGGGTAGATTCGGATCGTGAGTATCAAGTCTACAAGGGCTTCGCGTAACTGGAGGTAGATATACTTGGACAAGGCGTAAGACCCATAGTCCTATATTATCTGGAGAAAGTCAAACGATGGCAGCGTCGGCAAGCAGACATTATGTCCAAACTCAAGCTTATACACAATTTCCATGGTCAGGAACAGAGTGAAAGAGGCAAAGAATGTTCCTCGGAATGACTCCGCTTCAGTCAATCGACTTACTTGCTTAATAGCTTAGTGTTCTGGATGATATTTCTAACACAAATATGGTCTGCAGGTGAAAGATTCCCTATATAAAACTCATTCCTCAACCTAGTAATGAGAAAAGTCTAACACGATTTGTATGCAGCGCCGAACTCGAGTCTGAGACCTCCGGTCGGCCCAGGCAATCAATTGGATGCGGGTGTTTCAGCGTCTGCATACCTTAATAAGACCAGCCCAATGGGGGACTCAATTACGGTGTGACCATGTCTGCATGTCAAGAACATCGGATTCACCCGATCTTCTGACTTCTGTTTTGGAGCAAGAAGCTGAAGACGTTGCCAGCTGTCGTGCAGTAAATGTCCTTGAATGAGGAGCCTGCGAGAGGCTAGACCAGGCAATAAATAGACCGATAAACAGGTCATACCCCCCAATTACACATAAATACCTCACTAATACCATCCCCCACGCAAATTTCCCCAAACTTACAGGCCATCCCGTCACCGGAAGCGGCAGAAAAAACTCCATGAAAAAAAAAATATCGCCGGCACTACTTTTCGCCGACCAGTCAGAGGCCGTCCTGGGCCGGGACTCGGTCTCACCGCCCTTGACTTCTCTCCTCCTCTTTCGTCTTGTCTCCCTCCAACCCCAATCCTCTCCTCCTCCGACCCCCCGTCAAGACCAGCCGCCGGTCATGTCGTCGTCGCAGACCATGACAGCGCCAGCGGTGGGCCATCGTCCTCCGGATGCTGCCCCGGATATGTCGTCCGTGTACGACTATTCCCGCTCACAACAGCAGCAGCATCTTGACCCTCAACCGCATCCATCCCCGCCCAACGACTCCGCAATCCGCGCTTTGCACGATCCTGCCCCCGACTCCCTCGATCCTTCCTCTCCCAATGGCCTACCCGCCCTCTCCTCGACTATGGTCAAGGCCGAACCCGACGATCAAACCTCTATATCTCCTGCGCCGCAAGATACTCAATCCGATCTCCGTCGTCAGTCCGCCGCCAGTGCGCTGCTGGCCCAGCTCCTTGGCAATCAATCCTCCTCCGGCCCATCACCGTCCGAGGACCACCCAATGCCGCCAGCTCCGCAAGAGACAGACCAACCACAACAGATCGACGACAAATCAAATCTTCAATGGTCTATGGATTCAACCTCGGAGCCTCCGGCCGTTGCGCCTACCGACTCGACCGGCGGAGGCGCGGATCAAATCCCGCCGACATCAACCGACCTGTCGCTTTCGCATCACCATCAGGAGGAAAACTTCGAGCATCAAACCGATTTGTCTTCAGCCCACCACGAACAAGAATCAAATCCAGCCATTAACACGAATGACCCAATAGACGGCTTAACAGATCCATTGCTTTTCTCAAAGACCGGCATCGATCACGCCGACCTCTTCAACCCGTTCGACGTGTCGTCCTCTTCAAAGAATCCATTCGATGCATTACAGCACAGTGAAATGCTTACAGATGCCTATCTATCGCAAAACGCCGACCTCTCTGCCCTTGCGTATCCTGGTTTGCCTCAGGATGGCTCAGGCTCCGTCGACGGCTCCGAACCTCGGATTCAGGCCTTTGCGAAGCTGGAGTTCGATGATGGTCATTTTTACTGCAATACCTATTCTTTCATTCTCGGTCGTGATGTACGAGCCGCTCGGGCTGCGCACCAACGTGAGATACAAGTTCGACAGGCAATGAGGACATCGCGAGCGAAAAGCTCCAGTGGTGGAAACATGTCGCATACTCCGGTCCGTGTGAAGCATGAGGGCAGTGGAATTATGGGCAGCGTCGTCAGTGACCGTGGTGGAATTATGGGCTTTGATCCCGATGTCTCTCACCTTCCCCCTCGACTCAGTCGTCGATCGTCTGTCTCGTCGCATGCGGAATCGGGCGCTCCGCTACATGCGACCCCGGCCCAACTTCAATCGACCGATAATAACACCACCGACTACAATGCGCTGGCGATGCAGTCATTGAATGAAGAAAACGGCGATGCAAAGCCGGTTGATGCTCTTGCGCTGCTCCCTTCTCCGGACGCATGTCCGACTATCCCCATTCACCCCCCGGCCACGGTCGACGGCAGTGCCGCTGGCCATCGTGGTATTTCGCGCAAACACGTAAAGATCGCTTACAATTTTGACAAGAACCTGTTCGAGATGGAAGTCATGGGACGGAATGGCGCATTTATTGGCGCTGATTGGTTATCACCTGGCCAGGTCAGACCGTTACATAGCGGCGATTACATCCAAATTGGAGGTGTTCGCATACGTTTTCTTCTACCAGACGTACCAATCGGTGAAACTGGTGCTGATCGTGTTGAAGAGCCCTTCGGGGCAGGGGAAGAGAACTCTCAGACACCAGCTTCTGTCGAAAACGAAGCCGAGGCTCAGAAGCTTGCGTCCGATACAACAGAGAATAAGGACGCGCCTAGGCCTACGAAACTCGTACTTAAAACCAGAGAGTCAGATCCGGCGCGACCAATGCCCTCTGTGGAGGGAGCTATCGATCCATCTCTACAACCAATCCGGCGTCGGGGCCCTGGCCGTCCTCCTAAGGATGGCATCATGTCCAAGCGAGAGAGAGCAGAGTTGGCTCGAGAACAGAAGCTGGCAGCGAAGCGCGAGGCTAATGGAGGCGTTACTCCTCCGCCTGCGAACCGAGCGAAAGCTGGCAAGGCTCCGGCCTCAACGACGGCGACTGTTACCCCCAAAGAGATGGGCGGAGAGTCGCCTGGATCGAAGCCTGAGAAGCGCAAATACACCAAGAGGAAGAAGCCCGATGGCACACCGATGGATTTCCCTCTACCTTCCACCGAAGGCGGGCAGTTCCCCATGGAGCATCGCCCGGAAGACTTCATCAAAGCGCCCCCAGTCAAGAAGCGCAAACCCTCGCGGTCGCCATCTCCAAACTATCCTCCCGAGTCCGCATATACCCCGGAGGATCTGGCCAAGCCGCCTTACAACTACGCCGTTCTCATCTTTGATGCTCTCACCGAGGCTGGTACTCCGATGACACTCAAGCAGATTTATCGAGCGTTGAAGTTGAAATACCCATATTTCCGTTTCAAGTGCGAAACTGAGGGTTGGACGTCCAGTGTACGGCATAATCTTAATGGAAACAGTCATCTCTTTATGCACGCCGAGCGAGATGGTAAAGGGTGGTCCTGGCAGCTTCGCCCGGGAGCTTCCGTCGAGAAGGAGAAGAAAAGACGCCCTTCACCTCCTCCGCCAGCAGCGCAGCCCCCTCCTCCCGCCGCTCCTCCCCAGTACATGCCTGCATTGAATCCATCGTATGGCACTCAGCCGAATGGACAGCCCAGCATGGCCAACCCGCACTTTCAGTTCCCTGCTATGCCGTCGAACCCATACGCCACCCACCCTCCTGCTCCCGCCCCATCTCCCGCTCCTCCTACACCTCATCACGCGAGTCCCTATCCCCCGCCTTCTCAACCCGCCGCCTCCACCCCCTTTCCGATACCCAGTCCGCTCCGCAACAACCTTCCGCCCGCTTTCGCCCAGACCACCCCTTCCACCTACACCTCACCCTACGCATCCGATCCGCCCCCGCAGCTGGTTCAGCTACAGCAGGCGCAGCAATCGCAACCGATGCCTCCACAGCCCCAACATCAGTCGCCCTATCCGCCGCCGAATCCCCCACCAATGCCCCCGACTAACGCACCACACCCAACACATCAGACGCATGCTCCACCGCCACCACCCCCAGGGCATCATCCCCCTGGGCCTCCACCGGGGCCTCCGATGCAGCATCAGCCAAACATGGGTGTTGGTCCTGGTCCGGGTCCGGGTCCGGGTCCCATGGACAATTCAGATGCATCCTCGTTCAATGACCGTGCAAACAAAGCCATTGACGATTTTGAGGCTGTTCTTATGGAGGATTATGAGGACAAGAACTACATCCGAGAAGTGCTCAAGAGTGCGCGAGCCCGCGTACTGGGCAATGCAACGGACAGCTCGTTCCCGGGCGGCGAACCGAAGGACGAAGAGGTTATCGTGGATGCCCTCCGTAATCTAATTGGGAGCCTCAAGGGAGAGTAGCGAGCAGTAAATAGGGAGCAGCAACGGGCATCCAAGGCATGAGGAACATTGGTGGCCTTGGCTTGACGACTTTTACGACTTGGGATTCTGCATTTTACTACATATTTTTCCATATGGATTGTCGTGTCTAATCTGCATGCAGCTGGCACATGGCGTTCCAACTTAGTTTGGATCTGGTGTTCGAAGGGACGGAGATATGATCATGGCAAACAAGCGCAAGCGCTACCGAGCCTGATCTTTGTCCTCTGGTTGGTTTTCTAATGAGTATGAAAAAACTCGAAGCTTTCACGATACGATACTATTTTCTCTTTTCCGCTTTGCTTGTTTTCTTCTCCGGTGTCCTCACAAACTTTCTCCCCCGCCCTTTCCACTTTCTACACACACACACACACACACACACACACACACAACGTACACTTTTTATCACTGACTGACTGATTGTTTTCTCAATGATATCCACTCTGTTCTGGGACCAAGCAAGTCCCGTCTCACATTTGTTCATGAGGATGTTCCCTACATACCTACCTACCAACCACCGCACTGTTCTTACTCCTTCAGCGGCGCAGCGTATGCGTTCTATTGATCTATGCAAGATGTTGCAGCGGACAATCCCGGACTGCATGTTGACGACCGATTCCTCAGCCCCTCAATTTCCCAATTTCGAACCTGAATCAGTCGGAAGAGAGAACTTGATTCCGAGAAGATGGAAGAGAGGGGTGGTGTTTCCCGTTGCATAGCGGTAGTAGATAGAAGACTGAAGAAGACAAAACAAGGAAATACAATTCCAAAAATTGTATACGGTGCTTACTATGTCTTGTTCTGTCCCCTCTGCGCCAGAGGTAATATGCTCATAGACTCCCAGCGCAATCAAATTCTATATCCCGGACACTACCTCTTTCGCAATGATTATGGAAAATAGACATGTCAGACAAGAACCATGCACACCCCCCCCCCCCCAAAAAAAAACCTGATTTTGTTCACACAACCCCTCCCCGCGGCGCTTGACTTCGGTCTTCCCCCGAATGGAGGATGATGATGCATGAAGTTAGATGTCAGAATGATGTGGGCGGATATGAGGGGTCTGTTTTTCCTTTGGGTTGCGCCGTACCTGACTGGCCTCCTACCCCTCCTCCCTTGCTTTGCCTCTTGGATGGATGGAAAAGATAGCAATTGTCGAGTAAGAATCTTTTTTTTTTTCCGAGATCCCGATCGTCCTGATGCGTTGTTTTTTTTTTTTTATGTAGGTGTGGTGTGGTGGGGGTTTGACACCTCGGTGTAATGTTGTTGTTTCCCCGCTCCTTCACTCTTTACTCTTTACTCGGTAAGGGACCGTGGTTTCGAACCTATGGTTGTTGTTGTTGTTGTTGTAGGTACGAGTTGTAGGTTCTGGTGGTGAGCTTCGGTTGGTTACGGATATTGTAGATGTGGACTTGGGGTTGGATGTTGTTGTTCTTGTTTACTTCGATTAAGAACTATGATCTAGCCTCTCTGGCCTTACTCAGGCTGGAAGTGGGGATGTGGGTGAGGAACTGAGAAATGTCTCATCTTCATCCATCCATTCGGAATCTTAGGAATTGAAGATGATGATGATGATGATGATGTTGAAGAACAGGATTTTGCGATGGAATTGGCTTGGACCTCTTATCGGATTATGGATGGATGAATTAAGGCTGGCCGTGTTCACCCGATAGTATGTCTTTATATTATCTTCAAGGGAAGAGAAGAGGATGAGGAGGGGGCAAAGAGGGGGAAAGGAGGCAGGGTTTCTTGTTCCTGGCTGTGTTCTATTCCTGTTCCTTTCTTTCTTTCTTTCTTTCTTTTCTTCTTTTAAGTGTTGTGTAGTGGTGGTGAGGGGGTGGGCGGGTAATTGAGTTAAGTGTATGCAGACTAAACAGTATCATTGTTGTTGAGGATCATTCATTGATGGTAGTTAGTGGGTGCTTAATGAGGGGTTTAGAGGACAGTACCTGTATAGTATACGCTCGGCAGGGACAGTGCGAACAGGCAGTGCAGGGTGCGCGACGGCGGCGCATCTCCAGACTGAAACAATTGCTCGAATGTCAGTTAACATGTCAAGAGGCACAGACGGTTTTGAAGCAAGGCGAGGCAAATAGGCAAGACAGGACAGCTCCAGCTAACTAAGTCTGTCAAGTCAGTCAGTGCTTCTGCATATCCGCCTGTCCGGCTCAGGGTCAATGTCAACTGTCAGTGTCAGTGTCCGTGTCAGTTGCCGGGTGAGGATGACCGATGCACCTCCTCTCTGGAAAGGCGGCAAAAGGGCGATATCGGGAGTTGAGATGGAGATCGGAAGAATAGGAAGGGGAAGCGTTCTTCCGGGCGCCAGAAAATGGAGAGGCAGTCTGGGTGAAGGATTGGAGGCTTGCATACGCGACCTGCGGGATTATCGTGATGATTAAACTTCTCTAGGAGGGCCATCGGGCAGCGATGGCTGGTCAGATGGGCAGGCAGGGCACTCGAGTGAAGCAACAAGAAAAACGACCACAGGCTCTCTCTCTCTCTCTCTCTCTCTCTTTCCACCCACCCCACTTGCCATTACTCGATCTTGTTGTGTGCAGATGGTGTGGGGGGGGAAAAAGACGAGCGTTTGGCACGGCAAAGAAAGATTAGACAGGGTGGAAGATGGAGATCGATCGAGGTGTATTGTATTCAACTTGATTACTGTTCTGGGATTGGGCGGGATGTGTGGTGCCTTGATTGAGTGCCCGGACTGGTAAGGTACTACTCAGTAACTACCTACCATTATGAGATGAGATGGGTCATGTTTATTGTCGCGATGGGCGTAGGAGGATGGTGGTACAACAGCCAGCCAGCTACGTAGTACGTATACCTACACTTACATATACTATTGATTGGCATGTCCCAGCAAGGCTCATCTGGCTTACTCCGGTCGGGAAGGGCACATTCCCAACACGATACGATTAATAACCACTGTAGACAGATTCATAGAAAGACTCAGTCTTCCCAGAAGATTCACAACGACAATGAACTCCTAGATTGTATTATCGCCTGAACGATACGGGGTACAGAGGTGGTGGAGGTGATGATGTGCCTGCAGGGACTAAAATGGTTCCTTTCCCGTGGCCATGAGCCTGGCGCCAATATAATTTCGATAGCAACCAGGGACTGGGGGTTTTCCAGAATGAACCTAAATGGAGGAGACTGCCGACTACCGACTCCTGCAACTACAGCAGTATGACCGTGATATGAGACCGGCCGAGCAGCAGTAACCATCTCTCTCATCTCTCTTCTTTGTAAGCAACTACTACTCGACTCACCTCCCAGGAACTAATGAAAATCATTCAGTTTGTCCGACACACCCTCCCCAGCTTTGATTGGGTGCATTCCGATGCAGCTCTGAGTCACAGGCGAGAAATGAAGGTAACAGCCGCAACGCTTCAGGTGACGACGCTTTAGGTGCTGCTGCTACCAGCCTCCGAGCAGACAGAAGAGAAGGAGAGAGAGAGAGAGAGGCACATGCTCCCCTCGTCTCGACACGGTGATACGCACCACTCCCGGAATAGATCTGGATCTGTCACCTCCAACAGGATCTTTGGTCTCCATAGTTAATTGGGTTGATGTTTGATGATGGCTGAATTGCAGCAACAGGCAGGAATGTCAATAGAATGGAAGGAGCTGGAATGTGTCCCCCTCGTCTAAGATTCTAAGATTCTACCTAAGGTACACGGTATATGTACAATGATGATGAGATTTTCTTTCCTTGCTGCCGGGCTGCCCGGACAAGGTACAGCTTACAGGCAATACTTACTTACTATATGTACAGTACCTGCTGATGCATGTGTGGTGACCTACAGCGACCTCGACCATCGTGAAAATGAGGCTGTCCCAGCTGTCCCAGCTGTCCCAGGCGTCCAGGCGTCCAGGCGCCCAGGCCCAGGGTTCATGGAAAGCGACAGGCTGGGCAAGGGCAAAGGGCATGGCATAGCATGGCATGGTGTCATGGGCTCCGCCTTGAGATCACCATCGCCACCGTCGACTTGTCGCGACCGCACTGGTGATGATGGAAGTCCCCTCCCCTGAGATCATGCTCTTCTTTGCTTTTCCATCCCTTCTAGACTACTGTACTTGACTACTCGTAGATAGCCGCCGAGCTGGCTGCTGGTTGCTTGCCCCCTCCCCCCCTTCTGCCACTCCCCATTTGGTCCCTCACCCCATGATCCATCAAGATCCATATTGCATTCCCTCCGGTCCATTGCCTCCGCCTGCCCCCTTTGGGATCCGCGGTGACTGGGGCCTGGAAGTTATAAATAACCAACCAGGATGGATTAGGTAAGGCAGTTCTGCAACAGCCAAGCCACAGTCCAACGAGTCCATCTATCTTACCAAGTCTCACCCACAACACGTTTATTCCCTCTTTACCCATTTGCTAATTTAGCACGGGGGCGCACGGCCCAGTCATTTGTCGAGCCGTACCACTAGCGCTCTCCCGCCGCTCCTTTCCTACTCTCTTCTTGTCGAGGGTGTGACTTCAATTTTCGCCTCCGATAGACAAGAAGTGACGGATATGCTCTGGTTTGGTTGGTCTGGCTTATGAATTGGCCATGGGCTAGCCACCCGGGCCGGCTTTGCTCCCTGCAGTGCCTCTCTATCAGTTCTGATGAACTGATGATCCCATCATCTCGTGAACCTTAAGTCAATAGAAAACATTATTATGGACTCGGGCTGTTCGTTCTCTGGCCCTTTCGACTCTCAAGCCAACGGGGAGTAGGACGTTGCCCTGTCTGGGATTGATTGGAGGTCATCTTCAACCACGCCTCCTTTTTTTTTTTGGTTTTGTGTCATTTTAATTCTAATTTTTCTTTGTAAGCTGCGTACTTAGTTATAACTAAACCAAATGGACAGGAGCAGGGGAGGGAAGGAATAGATAATGGTGGCCTTTGTAAGATGACTCCACAATCTTCCCAAGGGATTATCACCATCAATGCCCGTTTTTAATCTAAAATTTGTGAATCACCTTGGTTCAAGAGATGCTGCTACGTGAGAGAGGGTGGGTTCGAGGAATTTTCTTCCCTTCCCTCCCTCTCCCCTCTTCTCCTTCTCTTAGCTCTTGCCATTAAGCAGACCGACCGCCAAGCGTGCTGGAAGCAGTAAAAAATGGGTCACTCCGGTGACCAACCTCAAGTGCCGATGACTTCTGTGGCCGTTCGAGCCTGCCTCTCGAACCCCTAGACTAATCACACTGATGGAACAACTAAACACCTCTAAGGAAACCTAACCGTTTGGTCCACCCCCGAGGCTGCCCACCGCCAACCG